CCGCGCCTGGAGACAATACCCGTCTCCTTGGCGGGCACGGTGCTGCCAACTGCAGCGGGCAGGGTTGCCCCGCGCTTTACCTGCGCGCCAGAATTCGAACCTACTCTATTGGCTAACCTAGGGCAAGCGTCCTCCCGCGCACCGCGGTCGGCTTGCCACTATGTAGAGACAGAAGGTCTCTACATCCCCCCCACCCCGCCCACCCCCCGCGCAGGCGCAGACGCAGCGTAGGGCTAAGGGGTGAAGGGGGTTAGGCTGGTCAAGATTGTGCAACACTCGGCCCGCACAACCCCCCTGTGCGGGGCGTGTATCAAACTAGGCTTGCATAGGTATGGCACAGGCTTGTGAAGAGTTGTGCAACACTCAGCGGAAGGCCCGCACAGGGGGGGCAACCCCCCTGTGCGGGGCGTATATCTCACATGTGCAATGTAATAACCACCCTGCAAGCCTAGTTTGATACACGCCCCTGCGGGCCTTCCGCTGAGTGTTGCACAACTCTTCACAAGCCTGTGCCATACCTATGCAAGCCTAGTTTGATACACGCCCCGCACAGGGGGGTTGTGCGGGCCGAGTGTTGCACAATCTTGACCAGCCTAACCCCCTTCACCCCTTAGCCCTACGCTGCGTCTGCGCCTGCGCGGGGGGTGGGCGGGGTGGGGGGTGATCATGTTGGGCCTGGGTTAATTGCCATGATCATGTGTATGTATATGGGATTGTGCGGATCATAGTTCAATCGCACTATACATACTACTCTATCATATCATGCTATTCTAAACACTGAAGGGAAAAAAAGTGGCAGTGGGGAACTTCTATGATATGAATAGCGGTATAAATTGCAAAAAAAAATCTGTAAATGTGGATGTTAGATCTTTGAAACCTATACTTCCTGTGCTGAAATAATATAATGCAAGGCTTGATCATTACATACGTATCATCTGCTTCCACCGAGGGGGCAATAACTCCCTTTCGACGTGTACACATGATTCCCGAAATACTTAATTCCTTGTGATCCCGTCTGCCGAGGGGTGTGGAAATGGTGAAAAAAGTGTATACACATGATTGTGTCTAGACAATCATTGTTTCAGATTGTGAATGATTGTCTGTGATTGTTTATGATTGTGTGGATGATTTTCTTTGATTGTTTCAGATTGTTAGGTCAATATTGGGACATAATTTTAAGAATTGTGCCATGATTGTGTCCGATTGTTTGTGATTGTTTTAGATTGTGCGTGATTACTTCCGATTTTGTGTGATTGTTTCTGATTGTGTGTAACTGTTTCCAATTGCGTGTGATTGTCTCTGATTGTGTGTGATTGTCTCTGATTGTGTGTGATTGTCTCTGTGTGTGATTGTCTCTGATTGTGTGTGATTGTTTCGGATATTGTGTGATTGTTTCGGATATTGTGTGATTGTTTCGGATATTGTGTGATTGTTTCGGATATTGTGTGATTGTTTGCGATTGTGTGTGATTGTTTACGATTGTGTGTGATTGTGTCTGATTGTTTCTGATTGTTTTTCCCGATGTACACATATTGTATCCAGTTCCACACCCCTCGCCGTCTGCTTATATTCATTCCTTAGGTTTAACTTGGACGTGAATAAGTCGTAATGGACGTGTTTCGACGAGTTCTGGATGTCAAGCACACGTCCGACACTAGTCCAATACGTCCAGACACTAAGTAAACGATGTCAGTTACGTACATACTCGTCGTTTACATATTGGTGCAGAGACGTTCCGGACGTCTGCAACATTCTGAACAGCTAGTAAACGTCCGTTTACGTCCAGTCACGTCCGTGACCGGTCGTTCTCATACTCGTCCAAGGAGACGTCCATACAACATACAGTACGTCAGGCACGCCACATTACGTCCAGAAGTATCACAGACGACAAGTCGTCCACAGTCATCCACGACGCGCAAACACTTTGTGGACGTACTTGGACGTGTTGGACGTCAGAATGTTGTGGACGTCTAGTACATAATTTGCGTTGTGGACGGCACTGGGACGTGACAGACGTACTTTAACGTGTAGACGTCTAGAATGTTGTGGACGTCTGGTACGTGAATTGTGATGTGGACGGTACTGGCACATGACATGACGTAATAGGACGCCGTGGACGTCACGGATGAGGTGGTACGTTGTGACGTCCACAACGTAAGAGACGTCTTCACGTCGTACGCTCACGATCCCGGACACTATGTGACCTGGACGCCCAGGACGTCCACGATACGTCCACCATGCGTCCAACTACGTCCATACGCGTCTTCTGACGCTCTCTATGCTATAAGTACTCCGTGGCTGAATGGTTACGGGCTCCGCTCATCAAGTCAAACGTTCGAGGTTCGAATCCAGGCCCAGGTAAGGTGAGATTAACAGCATACAATAGGGTTTAGGAGGCAGGGGAAGAAAGGGTAGCTTCGAAGAGCAAGACGGCCCAGAAAATGTTTTTGAACGACTGTGTTTCAAAACGTTGCAAACGTTGAAGACGTGACAGGACGTGATAGACGTGATAGACGTAGTGGATGGTAATGGACGGTAGTGGACGAACGTCCAAAACGCGCAACACGGGGACGTAGTGGACGTCATCGTGGACGTCCACACATACGTCCAATTACGTCCAAATTACTGTCGTCCATTTACATCCACCGACGTCCAAAAGTTCCATCAGGGTTTCTAAAGGTAGAAAATGCTTATTTTGACTAATTTGTACGAGTTCCACTAGTTTCCCGCTTAGTTCAAGCGATTTCTATTGATTTCGATTAATTTTTATTCTGATGATTCCCAGGCAGGTGTACACATGATTCCCGGAGTTATTGCCCCCTCGGCTTCCACAATCCGTGACTTGACGGACTTGACGGAACTTTTTTTTACAGTGTTTGTACGTGTACAAAAATGAATATTGGATTTAAAGTTATTGCTTTGCTTAGTCTTTGCGCCGTATGCGCAGGCAGCCGTTATCACCACTGAGTGTCGAGTATTACCACCGTCGTGATCACGCAGGGCCTTCCGGGGGACGTCGTCACACTGGTCACGGTTTAGCGAGTATAAGAGGGTACCCGACCCTCTCCTCGGCGCACAGTGTTCAGCATTGTCCCACCGGCCGACAGAGCGGCCACCGTCCCCTCGCCAGCACCATGCAGTTCACACTTGTCCTCGTCCTGTGCATTCTGCCAGCGGCAGTCTACACATGGAACCAGAACTGCATCACCAAGCCCGTCGGCTTCGGCTACAAGACCACTGGCGGACAGGGGGGTCAGTAGCGAGCAAAGATCAGCTTCAACTTCAACTTCAATGAGGGTTAGGACGTCAGTTCTCATGAACTTGAATCACCGGAACTCCGGTGGGACATCAGTCCGCGAACGGACCATCCCCTGCGCCCCAGCTAGTGCTGGACACGTCCGTGGTTTCGCGGTGGGACCTGCACTGTTTCTCTGTTCGCCTCTGCTCTGTTTAGCTCGGCTGGCAGGCAGGTCCCCCACTAATCACCATCGCCTAGCGGCGGTATTCCAGGCTACATCTCCGGCGAGGGACGGTACTCTCGTTAGCTCTCTGGTGTTGGCCACCTGGTGTGGGCAGTGAAGCCGCCCACGTGTCCACTGTGAAGTGCTGGGCGGGTGCGCATTGCACCCCCCAGGGTGGACACATTGAGAGGCTGCGTCCCGGACCGCGGCCTCGCACAAAGTGTACGGCCTCCCTATTGGTCCCGGGGGTCGCAGCCCCTCCCAACAGTGGATGCATTGCTCGAAGGTCCATGGCCGCACACCATGGTGATATGGCCGTTCCTTTCACCTTCGTGTGAGCTCTACACCATGGAAGGGGGAGCCGACCCAGTGTTCGAGGGTCCGTGGCCGCCCGCCGTGGCGTTATGGCCTTTGCTTACACCCTCTATAGAGCACTGTGCCGGGGGAAGGGGGTACTGTAATAAAATGAGGCATGGTAAGCTGTAAGGGGAAAAGAGTTAATATTAGGCTGTCAGGGTGGCATGGGGACAAACGGGTGACAGGAAACCAGGTTGGGGATAATTAGCAACATGGTTAGGGCGGGGACAAAAACATTGTAGCTCTTACATATTTAGTCAACAAAAAACGTTTGAATTGATGTAATTTTTTTTCTGCCAGGTAAGACTGTGAAGCCGAAGAACACGGCGGAGCTCACGAACTACCTCAAGAGCGGCGAGAAGCTCATCATTGACCTCACCACCACGTTCGACTACACCAAGTCGGAGGGTACGGCCGTGAGCACCGGCTGCTTCTTCTTGAAGTGCGGCTCCGGCTTCCAGGAGTCGCTGGCGAACGCGGGCACGTGCAACGGCAGGTCGCCCACCAAGGTACGGTGCGGCTGGAGTGTGTACTACGAGCACTTACAGGACAGAAGCCGTCTAACAGAGCCTGTCGTTGCTTTAGGTCACGTACTACAAGGCTGGCCTGACCCAGCTCATCGTCGGCTCGAACAAGTCCATCATCAGCTCAAACGGAAAGGGCGCTATCAAGGGCAAGGGACTCCGGATTAAAAACGCCAAGAACGTCATCATCCAGGGCATCACCATCAGCGACATCAACCCTCATGTCATTTGGGCCGGTGACGCGCTCTCCTTCGACAACGTGGAGAACGTCTGGGTGCACAAGTGCACCATCGCGGTGAGTACGCTACACGTTGGCATGCACTTCCGGTTGGCCCCATAGTGTTGCCTCAACGTGGTGCTTTGCGCAGCGCATTGGGCGTCAGCACCTGGTGAGCTACCAGAAGACTAACAAGGGCATCACCGTGTCCTCCTGCTACTTTGACGGCACCACGCCGAGCTCAGCGTACTGCGACGGCAAACAATATTGGATCTGGCTGTTCTGGGGCACCCACGACGAGATCACCCTCATCAACAACCACGTCGCCAACACCGCGGGCAGGACCCCCCACGCCGGCGGCTGGAGCAAGTCCCGGGTAAGGACGGAGCCTGGAGCGCAGCGGAGCGCAGTGGAGCGCAGCGGAGCGCCTGTGGAGAGCGGGGTAGGCCACCGCGCGACGCACCACTGCGTCGTGCGGACGCCTACCCCGCCGGCCGCAGGTGCCGTGTGTCTTGAGCAAAGCTCGATCAACGTCACTAACTGGCTCTGTGTTCAGAACTACGTCCACCTTGTTGGCAACTCCATGGACAACAATAAGCACGGAGGAATCGAGCCCTGGACCGGCTCTTACATTCTCAGTGAGGGCAACAAGTGGACTTCCTTCACCCGCGTAAGCAATACTTTATACGATTTAAGTACCTAAACAATAATTGCGCAGAAAATTTCACAAGATTTTTCACTTTTCGTTGTTACAGCCCATCAACATCCATGCTAAAGGTGGCCATCTCGCAATGGTCAACGACGCCAATGGTGCTTCGCAGTGCAAGAAGTACTTGGGCGCCAAGTGTCTCGTCAACAAGTACGACAACAAGTCCAAGTCCAAGACCTGGTTCGACGTGGTCGTCCTGAGCCAGTTTAGCAAGCTCGACAAGAGGGCCATCAGCAGTGCTCGCAACGCGGTTTGCGTATAACATTTGAATGCAAAATGAATAAAATTTCATCTCTTTATCGACATATCGTCACCAGTCTTTCTTTTTCCCGAAAGTGATTGCGCTTTTGAGGGTACCATCCTCGTGGGGTCCGCAACTAGGTTCGAGCGCGTACTCTGGCCGCCCGGAAAACTGGGAAGATCGGGAAGACCACAAGGAAGACTACAGAAAACCGAAGAAGATCTTATTGGTCGCAGGCCACAAATGTGACGGAAAACCGAAAAATATAAGGGAAGACCCGAAAAACTTTAGGAGAGACCTCGAAATTGCAAGGAAGACCAGAAAATGTAAGGGAAGACCGATGAAAATGCGAGAAAACCGCAGAAAACTGGAGGAAGCAACCAAACAAATTTCAGCTAATGATAGATAATAGGAACATAGCCCTATTCATGAATTTGCACGTTAGTCGTTAGTCAAAATCTACCTGGGGCCAAAAACATGTCAAGAGGACATTGCCAACCTCTAGTTTTAAATTTTCTGATTCAAATAAACTTTACGAGAAATTTTTAGACCATCAGGTTTATTAGTAGAATTGGTGCGAGCAATTTTCAATTCTGGAGAGTCCATTTTTCAGTTGTTTTTGGCTGGTTTTTCCAAGACTTATTGGTACTCTTTATAACATGAATGAGAGGTAAATTCTTCATCACACTCCCCAAGGAAGAAAAACAGGTCATTTTCAACATTTAAGTTTTTTGGTCAAGATATCCTGGGAAGAAGAACCGCTTACCTCCGCGGACTGGAAACAAACCCGCTTATCTCTACAACCTTCAAACAAAACCGCTCACCTCTGGGACACGCAAACAAAGCGCTTAAATGACTTTTTTACACATTCTGAGATACGGGTATCAACATGATCACTGAAAAATTCTCTTTCGAATGATACCCATGTTTCATAATGTGTGAAAAAGTCATTTAAGCGGCTTTGTTTGCGTGTCCTAGAGGTGAGCGGTTTTGTTTGAGTGTTGCAGAGGTAAGCGGGTTTGTTTCCAGTCCGTGGAGGTAAGCGGTTGTTCTTCTCAGGTGTCGCAGACTCCGAAAAATTAAGCAAAAAAGATAATGAAAAATTATTATTTGTTTTTTGAAACGGAACTGCACGTTTTTAGCCCGCTCTTTTGCTTAAAAGCTATAGAAGCGGGCTAATGCCATCGCCCTTGTGTCTGTCTGTCTGTCTGTCTGTCTGTCCGTTCCCCAAGAAGGACGTGAGCTAGAGGTCTGAAATTTTCAGGGTATTATTGTTGTCACTTTTGGACAACGAAACGGTTGGTGCAAATCCTGGCAACCACCCCTGAGTGGGTCTGAGGGGGTAACAAAGAAATAGGGGTTGGTCCAAGAAGTGGAAAAAAAAATATTTTTTTTATGGTCTCCTAAGGGGTAATTCGTGAAAGTAGAGCCCTTTGGGCGTAAATTTCGTCCGTTTGGCTCTATCTCTCACCGTTTAGGCGCTAAAGCGAGTTTCTCTCACGAAAGTGGCCCAAAAATAAATATTTAAATTTTAAAAAATATTTGATGGTCTCCTAAGGGGTAACTTCTGAAAGTAGAGCTCCGGGCCAAAATTTTGTCCGTTCGGCTCTATCTCTCACCGTTTACGCGCTAAAGGGAGTTTTACCCACAAAAGTGGCTTAAAAATACATATATTAATTATAAAAAACATTTGATGGTCTTCCAAGAGGTAACTCATGAAAGTAGAGCCCTTTGGGCGAAAATTTTGTCCGTTTGTCTCTATCTTTCACCGTTTACGCGCTAGGGGGAGTTTTACCCACGAAAGTGGCTTAAAAATAAATATATTAATTTTAGAAAACATTTGATGGTTTCCTAAGGGGTAACTTGTGAAAGTAGAGCCTCTTGGGCTAAAGTTTGGTCCTGTTTACTTACAAAAGGGAGTTTTTCTTACCAAACTGGCCAAAACAGAAATATTTTTACTTTTTCAGAGAAGTATGCCGTCGGTTCAAAATTTTCTTCTAAGCAGAAGAGTGGGCTTATTTTATGGTGGGACATCATTAATAAAACGTGTACACTTCCATGCAAAACAGAAAAAAATAAAAAAAAATACCAAAAAACATTTATTTGTTGTTCGAACACGTTCGGAGTCATTCAGAGTATGGCTGGAAGTATATTTAACTTCTTCTAGGGCTAGTCTTATGTATCTTTTCATAGGTGTGTTATTTGATTCATAAGCTAACATCAATAACTTAGAAGGGATTTGGCATAACTTGCATGTATTCTACAAACTGCGGCACACACAGCCAAAGATGCCCAGCGTATGAAAAGAATACTTCGTTTGTTGAGTTTTGATTACGAAGTAGACAGAAAAGATACCTGGCAAAAAGATGGTCGTAAGCGAGCCAGCACTCCAACGGGCCGAAGGCCCGTTTTCGGATAGAAGATGTATTACACCATGAAAATTCAGAAGGGACGGGCCGAAGGCCCGTCCCAAACGCCGCCGGCAGGCCAAGCTTGGCCCGCTCCCTGCCGAACCGAGTTGCCGGTGGAGCGAAGCGGAGCTGGCAACTTGGTTTGGCGGAAGAGCGGGCTCAGCTTGTTTTGATAATCACCCTCCCACTTCCCCTTGTAGCACATATCGTTCTTGGAACGTTTACGGAAACTTCAGAGAACCAAAAGAACGTTCTCAGAAAACGCTGTCTGAATGTTTGGTGCTACAAGGGACAAGGCATCCTAAGACTAGCTGCAAGGTCGATTTTAACCCCAACGGTGACCCTTGAACTTCCCGGGAGGGGTCAAAGTTGGGTAGTGCCCGCTCAGTTAGGTATTCTTCAAGACAGAAGGGAGAGGTTTGAACCAAACAGGTGCATCCGCGCGTACCTTGGCCAGTAGCGTAGCGACCATACTCTTCTCCGAGGCAAGCTCGTGCAGCAGGCTCTTGCCGTCATTGGCAGTGGCTGTTGGGTCGCAGCCCGCCGCCTGCAGCAGCTCCAACAGGTCCTTGGGGTAGTGCGGAATAAGATGCAGAGCGGTGCGGCCGTCAGAGCGCACCGCGGTCGCCTCGCAGCCACTGTCGAGTAGCAGCTGCGCGACCTCCACGTGGCTCTCGAACAGCCTCATCGTCATGAGGATGTGGAGGGCTGTGGTGCCGTCATTGGCCCTACAGGCAGCAAGGTAGAGCAGAGTGTAAGAGTCCTCACTTTATCAACCCTGAGGAACTTTTTAAAGGACATGTTTGTTGATTGAAAGAAGGCATTTTTTTTTTTTAGTGTGTCTAGACATGTTGTGATTTTGCCGAGTTTTGCATGCCGCAAATAACGACGAAAGAATTACAGAACACTATTTATACTGACTGATAAAATGGTCAAGGGTAAACACGTACCTAGCGCTGGCATCCCAGCCCTTCCTCAGACAGAACTCCAGCATGTTAATGAAGCCGGGGCTGCCATCATTCTCTGTCATCACGTAGAACATCGCCGGCCATCCATCGCAGTCCTACAAACAGCACAGGTCAAAAATGGGGCAAATAGTAAGTGGCCTCGACAACACAATTGCTTTGGCTATGAAAGTTGAGGTCGTACGTAACACACACATACGGATGAAACCTGTCAGGAATTCTTTGGCGCTTTTCATTGTCGGGTCGGTTTTTGCAGGAGAGAACAAAACTGTTTATTTAAAATGTTTACGTAACACACCCAGATGTTAATGCTGACCCCAAATTAAATTATCGGGTAATAAATGCACACCTCTCAAGTGCGTAATACATGCGCACTGGATTTTGAAATATTTCCCTCTAGTTTGACGGCAACATCTCTATACCAAATGAAACGTAAGTTTCTTCTATCTAAAGGAATAGTTCGTATAATTCGTTTTTAAGTAGGAATGCCTGTCATGTACAAAATAACTTTCTAGCTCTCAAAACTTTCCCGCCGCGAGGCAAAAACGACGTGTCCCTTGAGCAAAGGCGGATCTGCTCGCAACCGATGAACAAGGGCGCATCTGTTTCGGTGCCGCCGAAGAAGGGCGCATCTGCTTTTGGCGAGATTCGCTAGGGAGAACTTTGAATGTTTCCCGTTTATCGTAGAGAAGTAATACAGCAGCAAAACTTACGATACATACTAATAAAGAATCAGGGATTAATATGAGCCAACATCCAAATAGTAAGGACAAACCTCTGAGGTGTGAGGAGCGTCTAAAGTTCACCTACGCGAATCTCACGGAAAGCAGATGCGCCCTTCTTCGGCGGCACCGAAACGGATGCGCCATTATTCATCGGTCGCGCGCAGATCCGCCTTTGCTCCAGGGACACGTCGAAAAGTTCTACCAAAATGTGATTGAAAGTCTTCCCTCGTGACGAACTCACTCAATGTGCAAGTAACAGCTAAAAGTCCCCCAAATCTAGTGGTATAATCGGAATTTTCAAATTGCAAGTCGCCTTTTTACTGTAAGCGTTTGAATGAAACGTCTAATAAACGGACACCCCTGCGTGTAAAAAATAATGCAGACCGTGCGCGGAATAAATGCACAGCCTGGGGCACTTCGGGTAGCGCGCGCCTAAAAGAAAAGAGACACTGACAGTGGATTTGCGATAATATCAATACAAAATCGGGGCGAGATTTGGGACGCACCCCGACAGATGCAAGCTCTCGTAGCGCCTGGTGGGTAGGCAACATCTCGCCTTCACTGCATCCGTGTACTGCGGACTGGCCTACCCCGAGTCTTGCAGGCGCCAGGCTCCGGTTCCGCGAGTGAGAAATGCAACATTGAATTCACGTAGGCAGTCCCTACCAACGTTGTTGTTGACATGTTGGAAATTTTGATTCCATGTGCGCACAACAGTTTTAGAGCTATTCAAACGCGTTGTGCAGATTTTCTATGTTTTACTATGCGCCCCTAAACAAACTTTGAGAGCCAGTCCTCTTGAATCAGCCGCTTCGTCTATCAACCCCCCTTGTTCCACTGGGCGTTTGAATTCCGTGCACATGTTGTGCTCACGCAAATTCGCATGCCAATAAATATTTTGCCACTTATGCGCACGACGGGTGTTCATATCGGTCTTCTACAAAAATGGGAGAAAATGGGAGAAAATTGGAGAAAGTTAGAGAAAATCCAGAAAATCAGAGAAGCCCAAAACCAACTGTTATCGCCCCGCGAACATTTTTTACCCTTTGGAGGGTTAAAGGTGCACTAAAACAGGACTGTGCACCGTTTTACCAGCTGGTGTGCATTTATTAGCCACGTGGTGGGTAAAAAAATGGACATTGTTTTTTTCCTTATTATTGCTAGAGTATACAATATTACACTTCCAAATTGTGCTTTTAATGTTTCTTCACCTTTCTGAACATTCGACAACTTCGTGTGCATCATAGAATTGCTCTGAACGAGAGGGATTTGTTTTTGTGCATTTATTACCCGACCTGACCCTACTCGCTAGCAGAAAGACCAAGCGACGAGGAGTGTAGGAAAGGCGAGGGGTGCACCACTCCGATTCTGGGCGTACACCTACTTTTAGTCAATTTTCTTTCGCCGTGACTTTTTGACTTTTTTTGTCTTTTTTTGTACTTTAATTTGATTTTTTTTTGACTTTTTGATCAAATTTATTTGACTTTTATGATTTTTTCCCCTATATTTTGAAAATAAGGGAGAGTCGAATTTTTGGGGGCTAATAATGAGGTTTTTTCAAGACTTTTTGGTACTATTTAAAGCAGGAATCGAATAAGAAGAAAATTCTTCATCGGAGTTCACTCCCCGAGGAAGAAAAACAGATCATTTTCAATATTTAAGTTTTTTGGTCAAGCAATCCTATGAAATCCAATTATTTCATTTTTCTCACTTTACCCGCCCTCCTACCTCTTTAAAAGACAGTGATCTAGGACTTTCCGATACAATCTCAGTTAGCTTTTTGGCCTGTTACAGGCACATATTGCACTGTCATGTTGACTTTTTGGTGACTTTTTCAGTGCCTTTTCTCTGACTTCTCGTTGACTTCTCGACGACTACTCGTTGACTTCAATTGACTTTTTTGATTTTTTATTTGACTTTTTGACTTTTTTGACTTTTTTGGACTTTTAAAATGACTTTTTGACTTTGTCTTGACTTTTTTCTTGACTTTATTCATCGCGTACACCTACTTTTAAGAGTGATGTACCCCTCGAGGAAAGGCCACTGCCACCGTACCTTGGCGTTGATGTCGCAGCCGCGGTCCACCAGCAGCCCCACTGTACCGGGCAACGCGAAGCGGTCGTTGAGGTGCAGGGCCGTCTTGCCATCCTTTGTCCTCGCCATCGGGTCGCAGCCGAGGTCCAGCAGCGCCTCCAGCAGTTCGCTGCAGCAGCCGCGGGCCGCCACGTGGAGCAGCGTGCAGCCCTCCTCGTCCACGGCGCTGGGGTCCCACAGCGACGCGTCCAGCCTGCACGCCAAACGTGTTACTGCGAAGCGAGGGCAACGCGCTCGGAAACATTATTTCCAAATGGATTTGGACCTATTTCTGAGGCTCGGATATCCGGATATCGGCCCAGAACACCTTAACCTATTGCTTATTCTCCTACGATCTTTTTGGTGCTGATAAGGCTAAGGTATATCGTTTTGAAATAATGGTGGTTGAAAATCAGTTTGGTGATTAGAAACAAGTGAGTGAAAGTTTGCCGGGCCGTGCCGAGCCCAGCCAAACACTGTTAGAAAAACACACGGTAAAGGCCTAGGGTCTGTGCTGTAAATTTGTTGCCTGGTCCGGCACCGTAATTTTGGTTACGGTTCGTGTCATACAGAACAGACCGTAACTTGAAAAAAAATGTTAGGGAAGACAAATACAGCTCTTAGCCCAAACAAGAAAGTACAGTTCATACTGTTACGGCCTGACCGAAAGCTGAAGATACGGTACGGAACGCAGGCAAACCGTTTTTTTCAGTGACCAGGTGCTCCGCTGGGCCGGCGCTGGCGGTACCCGCGGACCGCTCGCGGCACTTCGGCGTCCACCGCTCACTCGCGTGTGAACCGAACCCCCTCATATGCTACATCATTAGTAAGCTTCGATCGCGTCCAAAATCCAAACGTGCGAGTCGTAAAGTGTCTCAAAATGGGTCAATTCACTGCATCGGTCAAATGCGCTTAAAAAGGCCATTTAGCTTCGACTCCACACTGGTAAAAGAAGTGTGCATAATTTAAGCACCAACGTGGGCAAGTTATGATTTTAAACATTACATGGTGTTTATCTCAAGTTGCACACTTGTGTGGTGTGCACATTTTAAACGTTTTGTAAACGTTTAAATTCTGTACACTTGGACACACATAGTTCTATGCTTTCAATAGGAACCATATGGTATGCTACTTTTCAGGAGTGTCGAACGTTTAAACACCAATTGACCTTTAACCTAGTTAGACATCGACAGTGTGTCGAGAAGATACACACTAGAACTTATACATCAATCGTCATGCAAAATTAGACACTTGTTTTACCAGTGCAGGGTGCCCTTCTCTCACGCTGGAATGATGACGATGAGTAGGCTACTCCTGGCTACTTACTGGGCATGGAGTAGCTTAAAGAGGTCCTCGGACCCCATATCCGCAGCAGCTCTTAGGTCACGGGGGGTCACGGTGCAGCCGCGGTTCAGCAGCAACTGCTGAGTCTCTAAGGGCCACGTTGAGAAGCACAGGGCAGACCGGCCATCCACAGTGCGGGCATTGGGGTCGCTGCCCAACTCCAGGAGCATTTTCACTGAAATAATATAATGCAAGGCTGAAACATTAAATACGTACATCTACTTCCACGATCCGTGCCTTGACGGAACTTTTTTTTTTACGGTTGAAATTACGCTCGGACAAACCCACCCCCTTCCACACTCACCCCAACCACCTCAAGGGGGTGAGTTTTGTGGTTGGTCAAAATCAACTCGATATCCTCTGGGGACATCCCATGTACAACAGCCCATCCTTGGTGCAGAGGGCGTCAGTACTTGAATCAGGCTTATTTCGGCCGGGTACGAGTACGGTTGATGGTGCGGGGAAATGTAGCCGCGACATCCGCCATCCGTACCTTGACGGAACTTTCTATTTACAGTGTTTGTACGTGCACAAAAATGAACATCACATTTAAAGTTAGTGCCGAGGTTAGTGCTCAGTCATCGCGCTGTATGCGCAGGCAGCCGTTATCACCACTGAGTGTCGAGTATCACCACCTTCGTGATCACGCAGGGCTTTCCGGGGGACGTCGTCACGCTGGTCACGGTTTAGCGAGTATAAGAGGGCACCCGACCCTCTCCTCGGCGCACAGTGTTCAGCATTGTTCCACCGGCCGACAGAGCGGCCACCGTCCCCTCGCCAGCACCATGCAGTTCACACTCGTCCTCGTCCTGTGCATTCTGCCAGCGGCAGTCTACACATGGAACCAGAACTGCATCACCAAGCCCGTCGGCTTCGGCTACA